TGGGATTCCAGTTCTCAGATTGCCTTAACCTTTGCTTACTCTATGAGACTAAAAAGAACAACAGTGCTGCACCGATTCATGGGACCTGTAGTCCATCTGCCACGTTCACATGAAGTGGAGAAGCAGAAAAATTGTTTGAAGGAGGCAGACTGTGAGGAGGCAGCCAACAGTTCAACATAGTTGAGAGACACTACTGTATTTTCAGTAAGGGTTAATGGAGTTTAACAAAGGGGTAACCAACCTTTTGCAGGCAGTTGTCTGTCTCTACCTGTTTGTATTCACGTTACCAATTCAAAATACAGAGGCTACAGTCAGAAAAGAAGCTATTCAGATAAGGTAGGCGGTTTACGAGGAGCCAATTGCCTTCAGAGTTACTCCACAATAGCTACAGCACTACTAACCACTTGGTTCAGGACAATTTAAGGACCATTCAGGATACCCTAAATGAGTTCAGGAGGTAGACCATCAGCTTGGCTTAGAAGTCTGAACACATGATTGGGCAAACAAGGAAGACTTTCTGAATTGTAATCCTTACTCTAATTGCTTTTGTGGTCTTGAACAGTCACTTAAGAGCTCTGCCTCAGTTTCCCTCTATGTAAAATGCAATTAATACGACTACTTTACACAGTTGTATGCGTATTCAATAAATCATTTGTACAGAGTTCTGTTATTAACTTTTGCTACATGTCAAAGGTTTTCAATTAGAAACAAACAACAAAAACAAAATAGTCTCATGTAGAATAATACTGACTAGACTCTAATAGAATTTGGTATTATTGCCAAAAGCTTTCATAGTCCTTCCTGCTACTGAATTTAAAGACAAGAAAAATGATTTGATATTGACATTCAAAAGCAGCATGTCAGTGTGAAAACACGATTGTTCTATAACTTGATGTGTTGTAATGTGTATAAATGTGACAATCAAACCTTAAAATTCTCATATTAAATGAGATTAGAACTGGTGTCGAAAATTTACATTGCAGTGGTACTTACAGAATCTGTAATGCACCAAAATAAAACCATATGACAAGATGAGAGACTATTTAGCAAACCTGACATTCTGTTTCAGACGCATTTCCATATGTTCCCCTAGTCTGCTGTGAAGTATGAGACTGAAGGTGAAACATATTAGTGAGAAGCATAGTTCTCTAGTATGATCTCATTTTGAAAACCTTCTATTGGTTTTATAGCACATTCATTTTCTGTAACTAATGGTTAATGAGTTCAAAATTCTGTTATAATGGTCCGTTGCACGGCCCAAGACTTCATCAATTTTTTGATAGCAACAGTTTCCTTACAGAAATAGCAGATATAAATGTGGCAGACAGAGAGAGTTCCAGCTGTAGTACTCTTGTCATTGAGGTTGCTGAAGCACAGAGAAGGCTTAAATTAAACCAATTAACTTACTTCTAGAAGGAATTGCTGAGTCTTGGTGATAACTGTTGGGATACTGAAGTAACTGGCTCAGTCGATGGAAGGATATATTCTCGGGAGGAACAGGAAGCAGGACATCTTGGACAGTGAGGCCATGTCTAGATTGCAGGCTTCTTTCGAAAGAAGCTTTTCTGGAAGAGGTCTTCTGAAAAAAAGTCTTCCGAAAGCGAGCATCCACACTGCCAAAGTGCATCGAAAAAGTGATCTGTTTTTTTGAAAGATAGTGTCCACGCTGAATGGACACTATCTTGCATGTAAGCTATGATTACTGTGGACAGAGTGGCAACCAGGGCACCTGTGCTTTTTCCTCTTTCCTCTTCTTTTGAAAGAACTCCCTCTTCCCCGTCCACACATAGAAAGGTTTATCAATGTCAGAAAAACCTCTCTGTTCTTTCGATTTTCTTTCAAAAGAACAAGATTGCAGTGTGGACGTAAGTGAAGTTTTTTTGGAAAAACAGCCATTTTTCCGGAAAGAACACCTCTGTAGTGCAGACATACACTGAGCTTGATGGAGGAGAAACGCTATATGAAAAGCTCCTCCTACTGTATGCTTGTGCTCTACCTTGTCCTATTTATAAAAAGAGGACTAAAGATTTTATTTCTTTTCCACCACCTGACTGTTTTTGTGACCAAGGGTATGTCTTCACTGCAATAAAAGACTCGTGGCACAGGCATGTATGGCTGGAATGAGCTGACTCTGGCTCATGGAACTTTGCAATAACTATTCATATTCCTATTAATTAGAAGAAAAAATTGCAAATGAAAAGATAAAATAAAATTAAAATGTTGAATAAGTTATCGAGGCTGAAAAAAAACCTCATGCATTTTGCTTTGAAAAATATAAATGCTTACAAGTAAGTATTTTGTAGGATTTCAAAGTCTGCCTCTGGCAAATGAAAACCCGACATGTTAAAGTTGGGAAAAGCAGACGTGTTAAATTTTGCTCTCTAGCTGTATGCATACAGTATGTGAATGATTCTTTGTTCACTTAGGTATTTAGAACGAGATTTAGGAAAGTGCTGTAAGACACTGAAGATATCACCAAGTATTATGTCATTTCAAAGATCATGGACTTAATTTTTCTGTAACTTATTTAGGCATACTTACTCACTTAAACCAATTCCATTTCAGCAGTGTGAGAAAATAACTAGGTGAAATATATTTTATTTGTATTCACAGCAGCATTTTACTAATGCTAGGATAACACAGAATCTGCATTATGAGAAAATATTGCAATCAGCAAAGCCATGTTAGAGACGAAAAAAGAAAAGCCAATCTTTAATGTATTTTTAAAAATTAGATAAGCCTGCTATTAGCTGAAGAAACTGACTCCTATGGTTAAACAAGTAGTTCCAGTCTTCAGTTGGTTGTGGTATTTTAATATAGAGTTTAAAACGATAGTTCATGAATTCACTATAATGTGGTTACAAAATCACTGAACACCAGACATTAGCTAACAAAAGTTAGTAAGCCTGTATTTTACTCAAGATTACGGTAAATGTTCTGAAATGCAGTTCAATAAATATGCAGCTGATTATTTTATGACAAGTTTTTAAGTTTCAGATTACTCAGTGAAAAGGAATGTATGTTTAATATTTGTATTGATAAATTTCCTTTAAATAAAAATTTAAACCAGTATATCTTTCAAGCTGGAATCTGCTTATTTATATGAGCAAATTCTCCTCCAGAATATTCACCTCCCTCTTAAATTTATGGCCAGGCTTTTTTTTAGGCCAGAAGAAGGAGAGAATATAAAAAAAGACGAGAGAAAGAGAGAGAATCGGGAGGAAGAAAGATGAAATAAAAAGTGTGTGTGTGTATATATATAAATTGGCTTCCAAACAAAAAAGTTGCAGATCAAAATATTTTGTTGTGCTTTTTAATAACTAAATTAACTGCAGATATTAATGTGTTATAACTCACCTATTTTTACTCCCACTGTCCTTCAGGAAAATAGCTAGTCTGAGCTGTCATAAGGACTCTATTAAGAAGCCAATCTTCCAGCACAATAACATTTTTGTTTACATTTACATTGCTTATTATATACATCTCACTGTTTTAGAGTTAGAGGCTGGTTATGCATTTTTTCCCAGCACTATGTTTCTGAGAAGGGCTACAAAGAAGGGAAGAACTGACAGGGAACATGCAATCAGGCTATGTCTACACTGCAGCCTTTTGTTGGCAGAGACAATGCAGATGAAGCGCTCATTAGCATTTGTTGCACTGTCATTTGCATATTCTCTGCTGATGCTTTTTGTGGTAGAGGCTGACAGCTCACAGCCCTCCCTGACCACCTCGGAGGTTCTGATCTCTGGTTTCAGAACTCCCAATAACAGCACTGGTGAAACTCATATTGGAATACTGCACAAAGATCTGGTAACCATATTTTAGGAAGGATGTTGAAAATCTGGAGAGGGTGTAGAAAAAAAGACAGGAAAATGATTCTAGGACTGAAGAAAATGCCTGAGTGGAGAGAACTACTTCAATCTGTTCAGTTTATCAAAAAAAAAAAAAAAATTGACTTGTTTACAATATTCAAATACCTTGATGGGAAGAAAACACTGGGATCAAAGGGTTCCTTAATACAAGAAAGAAAGACCTAACAGGAGCCAATGGCTAGAAGCTGAAGCAAGACAAATTCAAATTAGATACAAAATTTTAAACACTGATTAAACAACAGCACAAACTACCAAAAGAATTTGAGGTGCTCAATCTCTTAGAGCACTTCTCCACAGCAGAGCTAAACTTGAAATAAGCTATGTAACTTGAGCTATGCTAACTGCACAGTTTAAGTCAAAATAGCTTATTTTGACTTTTGATGCTGTCTACATAGCAGTTATTTCAAGAGAGAGCACTCATTATCTGACTTCCCTTACTCCTCGTACAAGTCGAAATCAGCAGTCCTCCAGCTCGATATTATTTTGACATGATGTCAAAATTACTGCTTGCTGTGTAGACACGGACTATGTTATTTCGGAATCATGACAGTTACTGCGAAATAACACTGCTATGTAGACATAGCCTTACTGTCTTCAAATCAAACACAAGTTATTGGGCTCAGTTACAGGAGTAATTGGGTGATATACCTGTGATATACAAGAGTTGAGACTAGATGATATAATAGCTCTTTCACACCTTAATCTGTAAAACTCTATGAAGACTCCCTAGCATTCCCCTTTTTTGGATGACTTTTATCATACTGTTGCTGCAAAGTAATACCTTTGGCTACACAGGTTGTGTGCCAAGGGGAATCATAAAGCTCACAGTTGTCACCATTCTCCTCAAATTTAATAAAAAAAACAAAAATCAAAGTCAAGTGTCTGGACCTTAAGATGGCTACACCAGCATCCAATTCCATGACAGTTATAGTTATTCTGAAATAGAATTTGGCATATTACATACTATGGCACTTGATACTTCAAATACACAAAAATTGGAGACAAAAAGACACACACAGAGAAACAGACAGTTTTGTCTAAGACTCTTTTTAATGGAAATGGCATCATTTGTTGGTTTTTTAATTCATCAAGTCATAAATTCTCAATAAGAAAAAAAACCCTACCTACCTGAAATTTTAATTTGAGCTACTTCTCCATCTCCTCCTTCACTGTGTGCTCGAACCTCAACCACATATTCACCATCGTTGGGGACTGGCAACTCTATTGAATGTGTTCCAGTTGAATACAGTGTACCCTCATGTTGGCCATCTGGTCTAAACAGCACCTTGTAAAGCCAAAAACAAGTACAGTAATTGAAATGCCATGTTGTAGCTGACACCACAGTTACATTCTTCTAGTTTCAATTAGCAAGTTTAGGGTGCTAAGATTATATGTACATGACCAATTGTATATCCAAACTAAAATATATTACTTTGCAACTTGCTCTATTATAAAGAAGCTTGGTTGGAGAGAGCAGATATTGCCTCTGTCTTTTCTATCTCCTTTTCAGATTAATTTTGCATATGGGTTCAAGTTAAGACTTGAATGGCTGAGGATAATACTTTCAGCTCAGCAAACAAAGCAAAAACATACCATACATCTTGCCATATACCAGAACATAAATGATTTAAGAATGTCCTCATAAAATAGCACAATTATTCTTTTTTATTTATGTGTTTCAGAGCTGGCAAATTATTATAAATGTGAAGTATGTGATTTATGAGACATATGGAAATAATCTCTGCTCATTTTCAATGATTCACAGGAAGTAACTCAATCCATCAAACAAAGACTTGTGCAGCATATAACACTGTAGCTATATTACTGCCAAAGTCCTAAATAAATAATAATAATAATAATAATAAATAGAAACTCTTTTTAATGGTTTCAGCATACTAATGGCTATAACTAATCACTTCCCTATAATGTGTAGATATTCTTGCATTGTATGTGCATGTATCATGATGTGCTGTACTTTTAAGGACAGCTCTAGATACATTTGTTTTATTATTGTCTTTGACCTAGAAGGACAGTTATTCTGGAGGTTGTAATTCTCACAGGGAGGATGGCAACAGTAATTCGGAAGTAATTCATGCTGGGAAAGGGGGCAAAAATATAAAGGAGCATATTTTTTGAACATATCCTTTAAGAGACACATCACTGTGGGAACAATCAGTTCTGCTGTATGTCTGAAGTGGTGATTCTGAGCCTTTTCCATACTTCGTTTCCATACTAGAACAAAATTTTAGGCCCTATCCCATCTCACCATAAAAAGAAAGGTCGTCAAAGCCATGTGGAACAGGGGAGTTGTGACCTCTAGATTGTGAACAAATCGTCTAAGCTAAGGATGAAAGCACATTAGAGCCAGAGCAGATACCAATATTGACAACAGCACATACTGTGTGCAGGATATGAAAGTTAGAAACTATTTTTATAATTCATACTTTGTATCCTTGAACAGCAGATTCATTTGACATTGGCTTGACATGGTCCCAAGTGATGATGTACCTTGAACCAGACCTGACAGAACTGACAATTCTTGGACGTTGGCTTGGAGCTGAAAAAAGAAACATATACAATTTTGTATGCAGAAACAATCACACTTCCCAAACCTTCATTTACATTTGAATGAGCCTTTTAAAAAAGAAGATTATGGCTGGCCTTTCTGTGAATGTGGGCTAGTTTCTCTCCTGGAATGCAATTCTGTGGCTTCAGCTGTAAATTTTTGCATGGCCCATGCAGTGGGCTCCCTGTGGGTTTGGCATTTGCATGTTGCCAGAACAGACCTAGCCAATTTCTACCCTTTTCTGTGGAACTAGGTTTGTTTCCTTGAAGGCATCCCCGACCAGAATCTCCTAGAATTTACCTTAAGTACATGTATACATGGGATTTAAACTTTTAAATAATCATACCAAAGCATTTTTAATGCTCTTATCTCTGTGGTAATCAGAGAGCCTTCCTACATAAAATAGCAGCCACATAAAATGCAATCTTCTTATCCAAACACATGCTGACTGCAGGGCGGAGTCAGACTGCACACAGCTTACCTTACTGACAAAACATATGTTACTCACATACATTTTTTAGGCCACACAACACTTTTTTGAAAACATGGTCCTTTATTAAATATCATTCATGACTAAGGAAACCATATTTCCCTCTGCTGACTATAGGACACCTGGAAAAGTTACTGGTATTCAGGTGAGTTAAATGGCAATCAATTAGAAATAAAAACATTCAATTTATCATTGCGTTGACCGAGCTCCTGTCAAAAAGAAGTATTGAGTAGTTGAATTCTTTTACCTTCTTATCTTTAAGGCTTTAGGGTTCATGTAGGGAAGGGTGAAACACACACTCTTACCTCCCCACACACAGATGACACACACACACTCATGTACACCTTTCTCACATGGAGGCCTGTTGGGGGTGTGTGCAGGGAGGGTCACTCAGAAGGACAGGAAGAGGGTATGTGGGGACACTCCAATTAACAATTAAAACTTTAGTGGGGGCATACAGGAGTGGAGTACCTCACCAGTGTTACCATGAGTCACTTATGCATGGGGAGAGGGTGACTAACCAACCCTCCCTGCCAAGTGCTCACCACGCTCTGTGCCTGGCTGGGCTCTTGGGATGGATCCACCTCTCTCAGTATCTGGGCCCCATCTTTCTAAGGCAATGTGGGGGCATCCAATGTTAAATGCCCATCCACCCCGATTCCTGCCAGGATTCACACCAAACATGGGCAGCAGCAGCCTTTCAGCATGGTTCAGGAGAGAAGGGACAGGAGCTGCTTCCAGCTCCAGAAGAGGAGGCGGGGAAGAAGGGATGACCTTGCCTGTGCTTTTGCATAGTTCATCCCTTCCCGTCTGCAAAGTGTTGGAAAGCAGCTAACAACCTCCAGGCCACTGCTGGCCACTGTACATAACCCAGCTACCCCTTGTCCCTGACTACAGCATAGGTAGGAAGGGGCTAAGCTCAAAGCCACATTCTTATGTAGGGGCTCAGGAAACCTGACTGCAGGGGCTTCAGAGGCTATGGAGCCTAGCAAGATAGGTGTCTCAGCAAGAGAGGGTGTCTAGGAATGGAGCAGCCCTGAGTGCAGAAGTTGGCAGGAGTTAAGGCAGGGGGACAGGTCCGCATCAATACCTTTGGCTGATTCTTGCAGAAGAGGGGGCCCGCCATCAGTGGTCAGGCTACAGAGGGTCAGCCAGTCAGCAGTCACACCTGCCCTCTAGGGATCTCCACAATGATCACACACCCTTATCCCACTGTCCTAGACACTTGAATAATACATAGGGGAAACTGAGATACACACGATATTAGAAAACAACAAGGAGTCCTGTTGCATCTTAGAGACTATCAGATTTATTAGGGCATAAATCTGAAAGGGTATGTCTACACTACCCTGCTAGTTCGAACTAGCGGGGTAATGTAGGCATACCGCACTTGCAAATGAAGCCCGGGATTTGAATTTCCCGGGCTTCATTTGCATAAGCCGGCCGGCGCCATTTTTAAATGCCGGCTCGTTTGAACCCCGTGTCTTGTTCTGTCCTCGTTCCACGAGGCGTACAAATAGTTCGAAATGGCTTGCTAGTTCGAACTATCTAGCCCGTGCCGCGTGTAGTCGCGCGGCACGGGGTTCGCACTAGCCGACTTTTAAAAATGGCGGAGTCGGCTTTATGCTAATGAAGCCCGGGAAATTCAAATCCCGGGCTTCATTTGCAAGTGCGGTATGCCTACATTACCCTCCTAGTTCGAACTAGGAGGGTAGTGTAGACATACCCTAAGTCTCTAAAATGTCACAAGACTTCTTGTTGTTTGTGCAGATACAGACTAACACGGTTATCCCTCTGAGACTGTGTTCAGAGAAAACATTAAGAACATTCCCACCTCATTATGGTATGGTGCTCGACCCACTGAGTATCATATTACTATATGCAAAGTACAAACCAATAGTAACAAAGTAGAGAACTTTAGAAATGCATCCAAAGCTCCTTTACTTACGTGCTTTTCTTGTGACAATGTCAATAACACTACTGGGTGGTCCATACCCTGCACTATTGAATGCACAAACATCTACGTGGTATCGGGTATTAGGTTTCAAATTTTCCAGTTTTGTTGAGTATTCCTGATTGCTCACTTGCACACGCTGCGCAGCTGCTTCTTTGTCATGAACGGTCCAGTAACGAATCTGCACATAGTTGGATTGAGTGATAATTTGGCGTAATTAATTCTATTGAAATCTTACAAAAACTTTGTAATTTAGATTGGCACATAGAATAACTTAAAAAAAATTAAAGTGTATCTGGCTAATGCTGCTCTTTATACTATTTCAAATGACAAGTTCACAAAGAAACAGAAAATATTTCGGAGTTGATGTGGAAACTTTTACACCAATGAAACTGATTTGTGCACAATTAAGCTAATGGGAGTTTTGTGACTTCATTGGGGGCAGGATCAGGCCTTACTAACAGGGCTACATCATCGTTGCTCTTTCATACTTGGAATTTTATACTCAAATTCAATATTGTTTTACTAGGTTGCAATGTACTCTTAGAAGCAAAAACAACTTTGACTATGATGTACAGTATACTCTACTTCCTACTTATACCAGCATTCTAGCCAATGCAATCCCTACAAAAACAAGTACACTGTAATTCATATTTTCCATTCTGCTCACATTCCTCACACACAGTATTGCCTATCCAACCCAAGCTGCACAGAACACTTTTACTAAAATGTATTATGCACTATAACATTTATCATATTTGGCCAGTATTTTTGTTCCCATGATGTAAAGGTTATAATAAGCTATTGACAAAGCAGTTTGACAACATGGTAACAAGGTATAACAGCCAAAAGGGATCTATAACACCCCAACCTGATATCCATTTCTTGCTCATTCCTCTGGAAATTGTGTTTAACTGCACTGAACATGCATTGAACTTAGACATCAAAGCAGTATCACTCTCTTAATAAACTGACTTGCTGATTCTTGCTTTATTTTTAATCTCCTCTTGTCTCTTAGGAAGGACTTTAAGTAATGAAGCTTAAATGATTAGACTAAAGAAGTGTGCAATATTTGCTGTTTTTAAAGTTCATAATAAACAGCAACTTTCTATCATTTTAAAGCTTTTAAAGGTGTTTATACATTGTTATAATTTCCCCTCTCTAAGTATATTGTGCACTATTATCTATCTTTTTTTTAAACCTCTTTCCTTCCCCATTTCAAGACTGGGGGAAAACTGACAAGTGCTCAACAACTTAAGTTGCATAGATTTCTTATTTTCCTCCTCTTCTTCCCCTCAGAATTCTCCTCTGTGCACTTGTTTTATATCCACCTAAATTACACATTTAATACCAATGTCAGGGAACAATTCCGGGATTTAATACCGGATCATCACCAAGTTAACAGAACTGATGTGTGTGTTCTATTAACATAAACACCCCAATTTTGCTTTTAGGCCACATTTGCCTTAAACTTTTTTTTCAGATGACATTAGTTTTGTTCCCTAGCTATTTCATTTTAAGGAGATTCCAAAAATTTGTTAGGAGAAGAAGTTGGTGTTGGCTTGGTTCTCTAGCTCCTACCACCACAGTGCTCCCCGTCACAAGTTATGGTACAACTTGCTGTTGGGCAAGGCTTAATGTTTCTCGTTAAGAAATGCTTTGTTAAACCATTTAATAAATCTGTAGCTTTCTTCTATCCCTCAGGTATGCACTGTAGCTGAATGAGTAGTGAGACAGTAGAAGGGTTTCCCTTCTTATTCAAATACCTAGAGGGGCATTTGAGCAGCCAAAATAATTGAACAGAGGCTTTCCTAATTTAATTTACACATCAAAGTTTATGTCAATGCTTCAATACGTTTGCCTGTCAATAGTAATAATACAAGCTGTCAGTAGCATGAGCATTATAAACATATGATTACCACCATGGCTCTACCAACTCTTTCACACTATAGATATTATTGCACATGCACATACTGACCAAATTGGCTTTTACTTTAAATATGGCTTAAAAGCATGCAAGCACTTGTATTTTTTGGATTAAAGAAATGTACATGCTGCAGAAGGTTTTGGAAATTTAATCCTTCAGCAGACACCACTTAGTTTTCTTGAAACACATTTAGAATAAAATACAGACAATGTTAATACATTCTTTTAGGAAATAAATGAGGACTCGGAGGAAATGCCGTGTGTTCTCAACTGAGAGATCTACATGTTACATTTCTGGGACAGTTTCACTGACTGGGCCCAATACGTCTATCTGTTTTTTAGAGGCAGGAACTAAAGTCTACCATTGGTGACGATAGTTACGATGCCCCAATGGTAACATTTGCCGGATAACTGACGGAGCAGTTTTAGATTTAAGCTTAGGCATCATCAGTTTTATGATAATCCTGCTTGAGAAGCATGTGCTGTGAAGTGTCAGAGGGGTAGCAGTGTTAGTCTGAATCTGCATAAACAACGAGAAGTCCTGTGGCACGTTAGAGACTAACAGATTGATTGGAGCATAAGCTTTCGTGGGCAAAGACCCACTTAATTGCTGCACGTAGTAGAAATTCCACAGGCAGGTATAAATATACCTTTCTTTTCAAGTGTCTATATATTTATACCTGCCTCTGGAATTTCCACTACATGCATCTGACAAAGTGGGTTTTTACCTACGAAAGCTTATGCTACAATCAATCTGTAAGTCTATAAGGTGCCAAAGGACTTCTTGTTGTTTATGTGCTGTGAAGTGTGCAATGAAATGAGAGACTGAGAATTCAGGATAAACTGGAACCCAGCTCAGACCCATTTCACTTAAGCATTCTAGCCAGATAAAGCCAGAGCCCTTGGCATAGGATTCCCCTGCCAAGGACACTGAGGCCTTCACATATTTTGATGTTTCTACAGAACAAAAACTTATAAACAAAAACAGATTTTTGTGGTTCTTAAATACCAAAGAGCAAATGTTCATGTTTAAGCTTTAAATTGACAATGCTATATCATTGTCTTATTTTATAAGCCCTCGTTTAAAATATGAAGTAAAATTACTTCTATATCCAGGCTTTTTCCTTACTGAGGCTTTATTAAAATGTGTAGAACAATAGGAGAAAAATATGCATATTTTTTCTAAATAGTTGCTTAGTCTCAGGCTAGTATTTTGGTTCCATTATACTGTAATGAAGTGTTGTATATATGCCCCTGCCTTCCACTGGGCAGAATCACAACTCTTCAGCTGAGTGCCCTATGCTACTAACAACTTGAGGTGTTTTGCCTTTGGGTTAAAGTGACTGGGGCCTTTGCAACTGGAACAAGGGGAAGCTGAGCACTATCTTGATTTCTGCCATGAAGTTCTAAATGGGCCTGAGTGTGCAGCAAAATGACATCTGTGAATAAGTCGTCGGTCATGTATCTGTTAGTTATGGTGTGATTCATGATAAATATGGTGATAATGTTGCCATGCAGTGCAAACCTCTATAGTGACTGCTAGGGGCTCAGCTCTTCCATTTTTTGGGTATACTCTGATATGCTAAGTGTATTTTTTACATAGGGGTGGTGAACACACTAAGGCTTTTGTTGATCACTGGACAGCTGCCCAAATCCTTGAATCCCTCTCCCCCAGGAGAAACTTTCTATATTTGTCCAATTCATCTACCCCCCTGTAAACCAGGAGTGTAATAAAATAAGTAATATAGAACTGTTAAGTTGAGTGAGAAAAAGGAATGAAACTTTAAGCCACTCCACTGAGATGTGAGTTAAATCCCTTGCAGGAATAAGATCATTCAAACATTAAATTCACCTAAATCCCAAATACATTGAATCTTGGTTCAAATAACTTATATTTAATAATTGTGACAATGTGATCTGCATGTGTTAAATTCAGAAGTCTGAACAGCTTTTCTCTACCTATCTACTTAGGATACAAATATGACTATATATTTGGGTCATAATAATTATTTTTGGAAACAATGGATTATTTCGTTTAATGCAGAGAAATTAGCACTTAATTGCTAATCTTTTCCCTTTCTCCTGCTCTTTCTTCATTCTGGTTCAATGGAAATACTGTAGAAACTATGCTGCATATTCTCATTGTCACCACCTTGGTGAGTACATTTCCATTACACACTGATTTTTTTCATTAAAAGATTTTGGGATCAGATTTGGGGCTCACTTCCTTCTTTTTGTGTGTGTGTTGTCTCTGGGATCTATCCAAGTAAGAATCCTCATGGTGAGGGAACCCTCAGTAGGCACTACCTGTTTTTTGCCAACCCAATTCCAGCTCTCACTGGAATGGTTGAGCCAAGAATGAGGAGAGGATTCTCTGATAATCTCTGTGCCAGTGGGGTCATTGCAAGGCATGATAGCATAACACAGCCAGCAAACCCATTAGGTTCAGGGAAACTCATTTAACTCCCTTGTGGTCCTGTGCCACTGGTGTGCCTAGAAAATATTTTACAGATGAGAATTTAGCCCATGGTAAGCATGGGGGAGATGCTTTTAAAATGATCAAGAAAGTAGTCCTATATGATCCTTGCGTGAGTTTCACATAAAAAAGTTATAAAAATATTCTTTATCATAACAGAACAAATATTTCAGGGTGACCAGTTGTATAACAGAGAGTATGCTACAAAATAAAGCAACTATAACATTACCTATTAGAATAATGTTTCTGTAACAAAATCTTTCATATTTATCTTTCATTTCCAAGAAATTTGACTAACACTAAAAAAATTCTATTTTATTTTACTCATTTAATATACTTTATTGATACTTACAAGGAGACATAGTGACTAATAATAACCCCCCACAAAACAGTATCATGACATAAACCTGTATAATAAAAGCCAAATAATATATTTACTACATGTAAGAAGCAAGAAATATATATACCCACTCAAGCTGCAGATACTGAACAGCTCTATTTTTTTAAGATTACATGACAAGCGCTCATAAATCTTACATTCTCTGGATGGAGGGAGGTAGTTCATGTTTTATCTTTCATTTAGGTGTAAGCTGAGGACACACCTCAGTAATGGCAAAATTTATCAGTTCACACTCATCACCACTAGTGCAGTAGTCATGAAAGCCTGCATTAGTGTCAAGAAAACCTGACTCTTCTTGGTGTGAAAAGGCTAGTATCACAGGTGAAATGCCTTCTCTACTTTTCTGTCAGAATCCTTATTCTTAGATGCTTGAATACATGGCATCAGTGATGTACTGAGAGCGCTATTTTCAGGGAATGTGAAGGATTAAAATGAAAAGGAGAAAATACTCTAGTTTCACTAGAGATTTTGATAAATTGTGTTGCAGCTGGAAAGTAAATAATTGAAATCTGAGATTATATACTCCAGTTTTTAAACAACTTTACTTTGACCAAACTAGTACCCCTTCCAAATTAAAACAGTCCAGGACAAAGAGTGTAGTTCTTACCTGTGGTCCTGGCTCCATGTGATAGTTCTACCACTACCCTTTACTGGCAGTCGCAAAGGATCCTCCTCCCCTCTCCAGTAGGATGACACTGCCTTCTCACATCAGCCACTGAAGGGGACACCCTCCCTTGGGGAGCATCAGGTATAACAGTAAGGCTATGTCTAGACTACACTGATCTATCGGAAAAAGGTAAGCAATTTGCGCTCCGCAATTTGCGTACCTTTTTTTCCTTCATAAGAGGCTGTCCCAAACTTTGGCCCATCTATACTGGGCCAAATTTCTAAAAATCCTCCTCTTTTGGAACAGCTCTTCTTCCTCTTTGAAGAAAGAAGACAGGATGTCCAAAAGAGCGCGTCTGCTCTTCCACAAAAAAAAAGCGGAAGAGCAGATGCGTTCCCTGGAAAAAACCCATAGTGTAGACATAGCCCAAGGCAGATTTCCCATACTGACCCCAACAGCTGATGTACATCTTCTTGGCTAGGTAGACTGGGATGCACAGAGATTTCTCTGCTGGGGATACTGATGATTCCCCCCACCTCTCCCACACACACACGCGCGCTTTAGAGTAGTAATAGAAATGTAGCCATGTTAGTCTGGTCTTGCTGAAACAAAAGACAGGACTATGCAGCACTTTAAAGACTAACAAGATGGTTTATTAGGTGATGAGCTTTCGTGGGCCAGACCCACTTCCTCAGATCAAATTGTTGAAAAAAATTGGCATAACCAAATGGAGAGATCCATTTCCTGGACACCACAGTACAAATCACCAATAGTAAATTAGGTACCACTCTCTACAGAAAACTCACTGACTCATACAGTTACCTACATGCCTCCAGCTCCCATTTATAAACCTCAACTACCCACCCGGAGAAATAAAAAAACAAATTGAAAGAGCCAGACGAATACCATTTACTTCAAGACAGACCCAAGAAAACCAACAATAGAACACCACTTGTCATCACCTATAGCCCTCAACTTAAACCTGTCCATCACATTATCATAAACTACAACCTATACTGGAATAGGATACACTCAGTCCGAGAGGCTCTGGGAGACAGACCCATAGTCTCCTATAGACAACCACCCAACCTCAGGATGATTCTTACCAACAACCACAGGACAGACCACACTAATACTAACCCTGGAACTTTCCCTTGCAACAAACCCATTTGCCAGCTTTGTCCACATATTTACTCTGCTGACACCATCATTGGACCTAACCATTTCAGTTATAAGATCAAGAACACACATTCCTGTTCATCCAGAAATATAATCTTGTGCCAACTGTGTCCATCTGCTATGTATATTGGACAAGCTTCTCAGACACTTTGCCAAAGAATCAGTGCACACAACACAGTTTCACAAAAAAAAACCAACCAAAAAACAGTTTCTTGCCATTTCAACCTGAATTGTCTCAAAGACCTGATTACCTGCATCCTGCTTCAATGAGATTTTAACACAAGACTTCAAAGAGAAGCCTCTGAACTGTCATTCATGTTAAATTTGACACTTTACAAATGGGCTTTAACAAAGATGCTAATTATCTTACCCATTACAAAGATAGCTTCCCCAATTATCACCTCTAATATCATTATCTCATAGACATTAACCTCCCCCCCACCCCACCTCTCCTCTGTTCTAAAATCTGATATGTCTATTTTACATGTGTTCACTTTTTTTGATTGTATCCCTTTGGTATATATGGTTATGCCAATTTTCTTCCACAATTTGATCTGAGGAAGTGGGTCTGGCCCACGAAAGCTCATCGCATGATAAACCATCTTGTTAGTCTTTAAAGTGCTGCATAATTCTGTCTTTTGTTTCATGCTTTAGAGTAGTGGATCTTGTAATTAACACCCTGCAATGATTCACAGGGCAATAAGGGACACTAACTGATACATTCTATAAGGCAACTCTGCATTTGCACATGCTATTTTTGCAGCATACAGGTAATTATAATACATTGGACAAGTAAAATTTCAAAGCAAGTAATTAATTCAGCAAAACCCAAATCCTTTTCTTAGAGTATAGCCAAAATGAACAGATTGTATGCTGCAGAGTTCTCCAAAAGCCACTGTGTATTTGCAGGAAGAAACCAACTCTCTGCTGGGCTGCTCCATCACCACTATCTAATTGCAGCAGCCCTGCAGCTGTTGTGCCCCTTTTCTGCAGCAGAACAAAAAAAAAAAAGGTTTTGCTAGTGGAGTCAAGATGTTGTAGACTCAGTGACCCTGGTCTGCTCCCAAATCATTCCTTTTTGCAATGGTGCACCAAAAGTTGCAGACATATTCCCTCAAATCCTGTTCCACCCTGCACATTAAAATTTCAGGGTTCTGCATCTTCTTACGGACTATATATAGAGTAGAATCCTATATATACAGTAACTGCAGCTAGTTACTCTCTCTCTCTCTTCCCCCCTCTCTCTTTATATACATACACACACACACACACACACACACACACACACACACACAGTATGTAATACTATAAATTCTGTTGGGGATATTTCTAAAACAATTACTATGCCTGATCATTTCATCATGTAGTGAGCCATTAGCTACTTACAAATCTATTTCTGCACCGAGAAAGACATTACAATGTATAGCAAATGTTTACACCCAAAACTTCTAAACATGTTTTGGGACATTTATGAGCCAGATCCTCTTTTGGTATAAACTGGCAGTTTGTCTTTCGAGTTCTATGGAACTATCTCAACTTACACAACTAGGGGATCTGACCAAAAGTCCTTTTAGTCTATTTTAGTATAAAAATGATACATTATATGAAACATTGACTAGAGAATTAAATTTGTACAGAAAATTAAACAATACTGAGTATTAGAATGTGTATTGCCGGTGTATAATCAATTACTTTGTTTAAACGAATGTGAAGATATTTATAAACTTCTGAACTCACCTGATATCCTTCAACAGACTGCTCAAAAATATGCTCCCAGGAAACGGAGATTTCAGAAGATGATAAGATTTTTACATTCACATTTCTGGGCCTTTCACTGGGAGCTGAAAGATTGAACATATGGAAAACTTTCTACACCATCAAGTGCACTGTTATATTTACTTGCATGGTCTTTTCTCATTGTTATATTATTTTCCCATTTTCACAAGGCCAAGTCCTGAGGTCTTTAACCTATTTATACTTAGCTCTTATTTGGGTAACCTCTAATTTCATTGGGTATTTGTTTTACTCAATTTGGTTTCAAAGTGGAGCAAGAATCTCCAGATTGGGCCCATATAAAATATGTATTAGTTTTAGCAAGTTCTTAAAGTGAAAGTTTCATAAATTAAAAATGGGTTGAAATAAAAAGAGAACAAAAAAAAGAGATCTTTTACTCAGTTGTATAGAGTTTCTCTCTCACGTTAAAAACTGTTTGCTACATTTCAAAGACAATTGCATGCAAATATTTATTTGCTTCTTACGCATGCAAATAAAACATACATTATGTGCATGCAAATCAGATAATTATGTATGCAGTGGACTAGTCATGTGTCTAACTGACCACATATGTGCATTCACAGCAGGCATTTGTGCATGTATGTTGGACACATGTACACGTTTGTGTGTGATTAACTTTAAAAATCTGAATTTGTATATCTAAATGCACAGTTCAGATAATTTTAAAGTGATAAGGTTTTCTTTTAATTTAAAAATTAACCTGTAATGCCTAATACAATAGGTGCTAGTTTAATAATATGAAGCTTCTAATTTCACTTTGTGACTTGCATTTAAAAGGAGTTAATGAATGTATATATGCATACACAGTGCATAGAATATATGAAAGATTCCATTTTTCAAACTAAGATCAGTTCCATGTTATGGGTCTTTTGAAACAAGTTGCAACAGACAGCCACTGCTGCCTCAGCACAAGAAAGCTTTCATATATTTAATCTTCCAACTGGGCATCAAGTCAACTATGTATCAAAACAGCTAGTTTTCAGAAAAAAAAAGTAACAGTTCTTATGAGAAGCATCTAAGGTAATAAAATAATATGGTGTACAAAGTTACTCTTTTTAATTGTCTTTCACTAACAGTTAATAATTAAAATTTATAACTTTTAAAACAAACGATAGACTGAGGCTAACTCTATGTTCTCAATTATAAACATTTAAATAAGCATAAGGTTCGCAATGTAACATGTTAGTACTAAGCATGATTAGTGCTAATGCAATTTTATTACATATATTTTTGCATGAAACATATCAAAACACAGAATAAAAGCACTGCACTAAAATGAATGAAGATTTTAGGATTAAAATTAGACATAAGTAGCTTTGTTACTAACACATAATTCAGTAGCAATGAAAATATAGATCATGATTATGAGGATTTATTTACTATTTCTAACAATACATTTGATAAGTTCCCTTGCCTGTCTGTAGCCTTATTGTTTGCTAAATCACATCTGTGCAGACATTAGTGATGGAAAAAACCAGGTTATCTTATCTGTTTTCATGCTAATACAGCATTGCTTCCCATTATGCCATTTAGTAGTATTTTGCCCAGTGCCCAAAATTTAAATGCCCAAGTATCAGGGCTTCCATCATTTCCCTTGGGAGACTACTCCATAGCCAAATAGTTCTTACTGTCACGGTGATTATCGCAATGAGTCAATCTGAACGTTCCCGTTCATATATCTCTCCCTTATGTTTATTTATGCCTCTCTGAATAATACTAATTTTACTCCTCATTTGGTATTTACACTCCATAAATATTTTGCAGACACTCCATTGTTATATTACGGTCTGAATACTTAATATCCACTCCATTTGTCATTTTGACAATTCTGTAATAATATCAAGAATAAAAGCAATCCTGTTTGCTTCACAATACATATTCTTTACTGAAAACATGCTGCTTATTGCTCATAGTTCAGTTATCCTATAAGGGAAACCTTGTGGAATTAGGTGCTGTCAGGGCAGAGAGAATGCGAGCCTCGTGGGGCTCTGTGTACAGTAGAGCTAACGGGAATCTTCACCACTGTTTGAGTCCTACTGCTTGCAGAGATCTCAGGAGCACATGGCATGCTCTGCCTCTTGCTACACATGTTGGAAAGTTGTATGCTATGTTACTTTGTATCCCGTGCTCACTGACATGCTGGGTAGACAAGGACAGGGCTTTGCACAAGTGCTTTCTCCTTTGAGGCTGCTAATGTAGACAATGGCTGGTGCTCCCTGACATCTAGAGAGCAATTCTGGATGCTAAGGGGAAGGACAGAGTTTCTTTGTGTCCTGAACCCTTTTGGTGGCTGGGATGGCTAGAATTTGACATTGAATGCTTAGTTTCTCTGCGCAGGTGCAGAGTCATTTTGTTGGGACTAGAATGATAGGGCAGCAACCACCAAGACTGTTTTTCCTTCATTTTCTGAAAGTTAGTACTATTGTTCATTTGCTTTTTATTTTATTTTTTAATTTTCTGGAGCTATACATACTTGCTGCGCCCATGGCGTTTGGTCATGTGCAAAATGACTCTGTTAAATAATTGAACTCAGAAATCACAGTTTTGCTGTTCTCATATAGGTGGTTTGAATATATAACTAATTTAAGTTGTAGGTGCACATTTAACACTTCTAGTATTAATTTTTGCTTTTAGTAATTTTTTCTAAACAAAATACATTGAGCACTTCACTATTAGGTCTGAAAACTTACAGGTCAGATGTTGATAATGTTCTTAGAAATAAAGAGATACTGAAATATTATTTGGATATTAGCAACATATTAATTCATGATTTTACACTATTACAACAATAATCATTCTGCTGCTGCAGCAGCTGTTAAAGATGATATCCTAAGGTACACTTCTCCGATAACTTGATCAATATTAATTACATTAGCTAAGGGTAGCTAGTGCGGCTCCTGAATTTCCATAAGAAACAGAAGGGTCTATTGTATGTTTTTCTCTCTGTGTGGGGGATTTGTATACAAAATTCCCATTAGTGCTAAATGGGAGGTACAAGCATAAATCTCCTATAAAGTACACTGAGATGAGAATGGAGTCTAACATGTGATAATGTGGCCTTGTAATCTGGTACCACCTCTTGGCTTTTTGCACTCATTTCAATAGCTGGAGTTCTGTTTTGGTGAAGCAGATTCTGTTCTGCAACATGAAAAAAAATTGAGTAATTCTTTACAGTTCTGCTTTGTGCTTTTGGCAGCAGACATTAGTGTAATGTTTTTGTTATGTATTATTGCCTATATTTTTCTGGTCTAAGGCTTACCTTTTTCTAATGCTTTCTTTCACTTAGAATAGTAAACGGCATTTCTAACTGAAATCTTGCAGATTGATGAATTTGAAATAATTCCAACATGGATTAAGGAAAAAGTTTTAGTCAAATGTCAAAGAGGTTGTCATTTAATTATTCACCTGATTGCTTTAATGTCTAAACTGGAATAAAAGAGCACACACAGGCTAATTTCTAATACATATTAAAATTTGAACAGGCTTGGAAACTTAGCCAAATTAATCATTACTCTAAAATAGTATGGTTAAATGCCACCGTTGTTAAGACAGATAGGATTTACCACATCAGTTTTCCTGTTAATAAGCAAAAAATATACTGCTACTTTATTTTAGATAAGAATATCACCGACTTCTACTAAAGCATATGTAAAAAATGTAGCTAACAGCATTTTTGTTTCCATTAATTCAGTTATGAATATCAATCCTATGCTAGGTCTAGACCAGCAGTTCTCAAACTTTTTGACATGGGGACCAGTAAATCCATTTACGAGCTTTTGGAGGACTGGTAACATTCATTTGCATAGTTGCATATTCATTAAGCAAATGATGAATATTCAAATAAGTTGTTTCTGGTCCTCCCAAAGCCCCCAGTGCCAGCCTTAGCAAACCTTTTGATATTGTCAACCACAATATTCTTGCCAGCAAGTTAAGGGAATATGCATTGGATAAATGGACTGTAAGATGAATAGAAAGCTGGCTAGACCAGGGTTTCCCAAACTTTTTATTTTAGTTGGAACCCGTTTTTTTTACTGCTGTTTTTTGCAGCCCAAAAATATAAATGCATATAAAAAAAGAATTAAAAATGAATAAATTTTCAGTGTTTCACCCGGCTGCATCCTCCGCCCAGCCTGGGCCAGAGCTTGGGGGACCCGGCGCTGCATAGGCACTCCAAGATGCGCGAGCAGGAGCAGATTGAGGGTAGGGTATCTGGCTAGGAGGGAGGGTGCAAGGAGGGGTAGGGTTGACAGGTGTCCAGTTTTGTACCGGACAGTCCAGTATTTGAGGGTTCTGTCTGGGAAACAAATTGAGAAAATGCCGGACATATAAAATGTCTGCCATTTTCTAATTAGGTAAGTTTTATTATAATTAGGTGTATCAGTCCGTAGCTGCGAACTGGCTGGCTGGTAGATGTGCTCATGCTGCGTGAGTGTGTCTACCAGCCAAACAATTTGCAACTACTCGAGGAAAGGTATGGGGGGGGGGGCAAAATTGAATCCCCAGGGTCACACTCACTCGTGTTCCTGGGTCTTCGTGTGCCTGGGTCAGTCCCGCTTCCTGCTGGCCGATTTGTTTCCTCCCTCCCCCCGCTCCTCCTCCAGATCTGCCGTCCTGCCCTGCTGCCCCCGTCCAGCCCTGCTTCCGGTGGCCGGTTCCCTCCTACCACCGACCAATCTCCCCCAGCCAGCCCTGCTCCCCACGACTTCCTCCCAGCTGGTCGATTCTCCCCCATTTCTCCTCCCGATCTCCCCAGGCCAGTCCTGCTGCTCCACAATTTGCGTAGCTTTTTCTGATTGAGTTTCCAGAAGAGACTTCCTCGCCATTTGGCCCCGTCCTTTTTTGGTGGAGTCCTTATTCCTCACAGAACAATATATACAGGGCTCTCTGAAAGAGCACGTTTGCTCTTCCGCAAAAAACAGCAGAAAAACCTTCCAGTCTAGCCGTACCCTTATTAAGTGAAATATCTCAAATACTCTGCCACTAACTGCAATTCTCACTAAAAACTCGCCTATGTATTATAAGATAGCAGAAGTGTTTTCATCTTTAGATGAATGATTTTAAACTTAAATTGAGTACTTTTTTGAGTGGTTTTTCTTAGAAAGATACAATTCAGCTTTCAAAGACTGTGTCAATCACACAGCATTGGTGAAGCTAACTCAAATATGTCTGCTGCACCACAAACGTGTTCCAGACAATAAATGTAGAAGGCAGAACTTTTTTCAGTTCCACAAAATCTTTATTTTTAACTGGCCATACAAAAGTTCAGAATGTGTATTTGCTATGTGAATTTCATTGTGGATTGTTAGTTCAGACAACAAAATACCATGCAGTACAATTCTGTCCATCATGAGCACTGTCCTGCCTACAGTTCTTTATGTGGAGTACAGGGTTTTTTCAAAAAAAGTGGTCTTTTTTCGAAAAATCTTCCCCTGCATCTAGACTGCTGCTGAGTTCTTTTGAAAGTGAATCAAAAGAACGTGGCAGTTTTTTCGACCGCGGTAAACCTCATTCTACGAGAAATAACCCCTTTTTCTGAAAGTCCTTTTTCAAAAAAAGGCACTATGTAATGCAAACTGTGCTTTTTCGAGAGAGCATCTAGATCCTCTTTTGAAAAAGCGGCTTACTTTTTTGAAAAATCTGCTTGCAGTCTAAACACGCTCTTTCGAAAGAGGCTTCAAAAATATCTTTAGAAAAAGCCTCTTTCAAAAGAGGCTTGCAGTCTAGATAAAGCCTTTAGTTGGGAGCATGCTTCCCAGTGCAGATAGACAGATATGTCCTAACTCTGCTTAAACTTAGATGCTAAAAATAACAGTATGGCCATGGTGCAGACAGTGACTCAGGCTGTCTGCCCAAGTACAATCTCACATAGCCCACTGGGTAGGTACTTGGGCAGCTAGCCTGAGTAATTGCCCATGTCATCATGGCTGCACTGCTATTTTTAGCATTCTAGCACAGGGGGAGCTGGCCTCTGTCATTCTACTTGCACTGGGAAACACAGACATGCATCATAGACATACTCTCATGGGAATTTTGCCTGAGTAAAAACTGCAGGAGTAATGGCGTACTGAATTCTGTAGTGAATTTCACTCACCCTGATCCTGGTCCTCTTTGATTTTGTTAATGCTGAGTCAGGCCTCTATTGTAGATTTTAATATGTAAACTACTCACCATCTTTTGCTGAATAAATGATGGCAACAAGGCTGAATGGTCCATCCCCTTTGTTGTTAAATGCTTTCACTTTTACTTGAAATTTTGTTGAGGGGGGCAGAGTGTCATCTTTATGCACATATCGGCCAATATCAGGATTGGTAACTGTAACTCTTCTCCATTCCTTTTCACCGAATGGTTTAAAGGCTACTATGTAACCAAAATTCTTCCCAAAATGGTACTCTCTTGGCAAAGGCTGACGAGACAAAAGACCAACAATTAACTTTTTATTGCTAACCAGTAGTTAACTAATTAGAAGTTTACAAATATTTATCCACATACACACAGCAAAAATACTGCATTGAATTTGCAGTCTCTGATGTGATGGAAACACTTCAAAAGCCCACCATCTCCGTTACTTACTACATCTGGTAATAATAAGATTTAAGTTCAACTTCTGCTTTTGATCCAGTGCTATAGAAATGTACATCATGCTGTCTTCAACCAAAGAAAGCTAAGATGAGTTTGCTTTAAAACTATATGCAGCTGCAGCCAGAAAACGAGACATCCTTTTGAGAAATCATGAGTGACAATGAATATATTTAATAGACTGTGTGTGCATGGGAGAGAGGGACAGCGAGTATGAGTGAGCAACTCACAGATGTCTATCACAGGTTCCAAACACAGACCATTAGTAATGGTCATACCAGCCATTATGTCGCAAATATCCTTATGATGATTTATTTCCCATATGTAGGTGTAATGGCAAATTCTCAGTCAGAGCAGCTAATGTGCTATATATTCAACTGCTGTTGCATCAGTGTTGCCAGAACTTCAATCCCTACAGACTTCAGACATTTCTCAGACCCACACAGATGAACATCCATGATTTTTATGACACCATGTAGGTCCCAACTGTCACTGATCAGTGATGCTTCTGGCTAAATCAGGGGTAACACTTCTGGAAGACTTATCCAGAGCCACCCTTCATGGATTCTGAAATACATTCTCATTCTAGATGTAGAGACAGGACCATGTTGCTATTCGTTGGATCCTATTGTGGCTGTTCAGCAACATGGAGCAGACTAGGATTATCAGAGCAACTAGCTTTATTTACCATTTCCTTAATTTCTGTGTGGACCTGAAGGCTGAGCAGAGGTGGATGTCTTTGAGAGCAGTCTCCTACTTCACCCTTTCTTGCCCACCAAACGAATACAGTTTCTCCTGCAAAAAGCACTCATGCAAGGGTTTATGTGATGGGCCACGGACTGGCAGCAACATAACACAGGTGGGAATACACAAACTTTTGGTTTTACCTTGCTGCCTATTACTATAGCATCCACTCAACGGACACTCCAGGTCAGAGTTTTTAGAATTAAAAATGGTTTTAAATGGAATGGGCAGAAAACAGAAATCCCTGTTTGCAGAGGATATTAAGGTTCTGAAATTGATTTTCATTCTAAAACATGGAAAG